GATGCACAGCTATTCTCCAAGAAAAGAATCGTCAATTTGCCATTAATAGAATAATATTAGAGATAAGAGCCTATGTAAAGAAAATACGGGTGTACAGGAATCTTTTGACTTATAGGTGTTAGAATCACTTCCACCTAGCTTATACGCTAATGTAAATCACAGAATTACACCATTATAATAACGAGAATATATAAATCAAACTAGATCATAATTATAGCTTGGAACGATCATGTAGAAACTTTACAAGAATGAAGTAAAAAATCATTTCACGTAATGCAACACTAAAGCTAGAATTAAACTAAAATGGGGACAGAGTTAGATAAATGTATATCATTCTTTTACCAAGTATAATCGATGAAACAGGAGCTATTTGACGATCTCAAATACCCTTAGAAACATTTGTGAAAAGTTTTGTCATTCAGTGAGAAGTTATAGTCTAGTTGAGAATAAAACAGTTTTCAGAGACTGTTGTTTCTTCCAGTTAAATCGAACGAGTGCTATTAAGGATCACTGCGCATATCCGATAACTTCGAGTAGGACATTTTCTTTTTATCGTATTAAACAATTTCAAGCTTAGGAGAATAGAAATACCCACATTCATTTAAACCGTAAAGATGATAAGAAATGGAGAATAATTTACTGTGCCTTTAAGTGTCTTAACAATTTTAGCTTAAACAAAGAAGTTGAAATGAAAGTTAAAAGAATAGAGTAAATACTTTCAGAATATCCTAAGCAATTTGGAGCAAGCAGTTTAAAAGTTACAAGGTGTTTGCATAATTTTATGGGCTCATGTTTTAGCGCACATGAAAAGATCTCAATTTGAGTATCGAATGGATTTAATGTGTATCATTTTGAGGGTAAGGGATTATTAATAAATTAGCACCGCTTGTCGGAAATCTAATTTTCATATATGTATGTTTGCCACTTGATGCATTGAACATAATTATTCGTTAAAAATAAAAGCCATATTTCTCTGGTTAGGAGTCATACTTGCTAGGCTGGGAAGAAGACAGGTATAAACTCACATTGGCCAGACCTAGGCCGTTGGTCGTTTCAACTAGTGCCCGACTTGCCATTGAAGGCAAGAGCACTTTGTGAGTAGTAGCAGGTGCCGATTTGGGAGTGACAGGCCCTTTTGGTCGATAAATACTGTTGCCGTTACTGAAACAGGATGAGTGATAGCTCCGAGAACCAGGCACCTCACCAGCGATGCTGATGAGCATGGGTGGATCAGAGGAAAGATGATGCTCATCAAGTGAATCTCCAGAGGGCCTACTGCTCAAAACATGAGAGTAAAAAAAATGGGAAAGAAAGAGTAGTTAAAAGATCCAAAACAGCAAGCTTCATAAAGACAAATTGTTAAGAAGGGATCTAATCCAAATTTTACGTGTAATTTGCAGAAGAGTAGGCTTTTCGACCAAAATAGTAAAGGCTTTGCAATCCATTAAAAAAGAAATGTAATAATTACGTCGATGTAAATAGGTATGAATAAGCCATCGAATAGCTGTTAATATGTACATACACAATATATTCAAATATAACAATCGTTAATATGCTTGAAGCTATTTCGTGTCCAGAAATAAAAAATAATCTGAAATTTAAGGTGACGAGATGTTACCAATCTATGCTGCCATACCTTACATTTCGTTTGAAACGGCGGGTGGAAGGGATTCATGTATTGGCCTTACCGGATATCGAATAAGGGTTGCCTTGGGCTTGGGACTGTTGGATTACTCGGTCCACTTGCCTGCTACCCCAATGACTCCGTGCTGAGCTTCCGTCCGTCATGTGACGAATATAGTCAGTCAGAAACCACTAATTAAGAACAATCACCAAAAACACTAAACCAAGAAAGGTGGTCAAATGAAATTCTACCTACTTCTTATACCTACCTCACTTTGCGATCTTAATTAGATATTTCATGAATTGGTTGACAGCTTTATACCTGTCTTACAGACATTTATACGAATGAAGTTGATACAGGAAAGGGATCAGATTTGGTCGCAAATCTACTTTATGTAAATAAATTATCGTAAGCTTGCTTTAGCTTCGTGGATGCGTGTGTTGTATGTATACCGTAGTCAAGGATGATTTTTTATTTATAATTAGGCTTTAGAGACTACTGGTAGATCATATATGTGAGATACATTCGTCATATTTTGTTTATATTCCATTGAATTTAACATATAATTGCTAAGTAGGATGTAATTATATCATTGTGAGAAAATTCAACTAACAATTTTGAAATACTAAGAAATAGAATGAGAGGAAACCATTATTTAGGATAAAACATGGAATAAAACAACTCTTCAACCAGGTTATCTTTTGTAAAATATCGGCAAATTACTGAGGAAATGGAACGTCAGGGCAATGCATAAAGAAATACTAACGCCCAACATTTTGCCAGATATGGGGACTTCACAATTAAGCGGAAGATTAGGAAGTAGATTGAAATTAACAAAATAAAGAACATTCTGAATAGGAGGAACGAAGGTATGAAACAAAGTAAGAATAATCTCTGGTTAATGGGTAGGATTGAAGAGAAAGATAGAAAAATAGGCAACAGGAAGAGCCACTGAATAAGAGAAGATTTGACTAACCTGGAGCCTGGTTTGGGACTCAAAAATTTCAACAAACTCGTGAGTATTTCATATACATAGCACACACTAATCCACGAATCTAAAGCATCTTCAGTATTACAGAATCATACACTAGTTTATTTACATAAAGATTGTGACCACACGCACTTCCCTTCCTGCATCAAATTTATTCGTATAAATACGTGTAAGACAAGTATAAAGCAACCAGACAAATAATGGAATTCCTCATTAAGATCGCAAAGTGAGGTATAATGAAATAAGTAGAATTATAGACGACCAACTTTCCTGGTTCAGTATTTTTTCGTGATGTTCGTCACATGAAAGACGAAAGACAAGCACAGAGCTATCAGGATCGCAGGACGGCGAACCGAGGTCTTCTTCGCACAATCCAACAGTCCCAAGTCCAAGGCAACCCTCATTTGGCATCCGGTAAGACCAATTTACGAATCCCTTCCATTCGTCTTCTAAAAGGAAATGAAAGGCAGGCAAGCTTCTTTCTACTTCCTTTGTCATTGGGCTTGTTTACCTCATATAACGAAAATGAGGGCAAGTGTTTCGTTCTATATGATCCTAGTTTTCTTAGAGCAAACTTACAAATATTATAGAAGTTGTTCGACCTTGTTTTCGCAATTTGGTCATTTTGGTAGGAAGACTTAGAGGAACGCACCTAGTCCGGAGTCCATTGCATCATCAGTTCCATAGTAGGACCTGGGACGTGGTACATTCCCAGACGTTTCGCCGGCATCG